CAACAAACAGTTACATGCAGAAGTGTAAAGTAGTGTCTGTTTCAAGATTAAAAGTTGCAGAAAGGCAGCTTAATGGGTAGGTCAAAATTTATCAAGCAGTTTGATAACCTTGTTTAAAATGCAAATCTTTATATACCAGAAAATACTGGATAAACTTAGTTTAAAAGCTTTCTGTTGTGAGAGGATCAGCTGTTTAAAGAAACAAATGTGTAATTTTAGAGCAAATAGTAGTTTGTAGAAATGAGGTAATAGTTTAGGGGCTTTATTTTGCCACCTTGTGAGGCCTACACAGCAGGTGAAGTTCTTGCCTGTCACAAGTTTGCTCTGGAGGGCAGCAGTTTAGGGACTGTAGTGATATGACAAGGGGTAACGGAAACAAGAGAAGTTTAGATTGTGTATAAAGAGGAAGTTCTTTACTGTGAGGGTGGTAAGGCACTGGAATGGGTTGCCCAAGGAGGTTGTGAATGCTCCATTTATGGTGGTGTTCAAGGCTGGGTTGAACAGAGCCTTGGGTGACATGGTTTAGTGTGAGGTGTCCCTGCCCATGACAGGGGGTTGGAACTAGATGATCTTAAGGTCCTTTCCAACCCTGTTTTATGATTCTATGATTCTGTTTAAGTAAGATGCCTACATTGTAGGAGATGTGCTAGTCCTAATATGGGTTTTGTTCCAACACGAATGCAGAAGAGTATGCATGCAATAGATATTGAAATTTGATTAATTCTGCAATAATAAGCATCTCGCATTAAATCTACAGCATTCCTAAATACGCCAAGGATGCAAGTGTTACTGGAATGCACAGGACTTGGAGTACAGGGACCCTTGACTTGGCAGCCTCATAACATTAAGATAGTGATAAAAGGTGCTGGTGATGTCACCACTTGTGTCAGTTCTTCAGGCATCTTTCTGGACAACCCTCTGCGGCATCCCTTTGGGGTTGAGCGCAGTGGGCATAGCAAGTCCAGGTGCTCCTGGACTGTGTGTTGTGTGCTGCCAGTTTACCCAGTGCTTTGCTGACTCTCCGTCTCCTCAACTGAGGTGTTGATTTCACATAGTTAATTGTATGGTGAGCAAGTCTTACGCTAGTTCTTGACAGCTTTTACAATTTACTTTAAAATTTTTGCTCTTATGCAGAATAGAAATTTAATTGTAGAAAGTATCTTGAACATTATGGCACTGAAATAATTTCCAGCTATGAAAAGGAAGGCAGAATCTCTTCCTTCCAAGCTCCTTAACCTACTCTACTTTTCACTTGAGGAAATGGCTTTCGAAGGAGACTGGCACTTGCCCTTGTTTTTATGACGGTGTAACCTACTGTCAAGCAAGGTTTCTCATTATTTAAGCTAACTTTATTGCTTAGAAATTTCTCCACATATAAACCTGTGTTCTCTATTCAAATGTAGTAATAATTGTTTTCTGATAACTAAGCTGAGGCATTCTGTAGAAACTGTTATTTAGATGTCTGTTCATTATATAGTATTTGAGTTGACTACCTCTGTTACCAGTGACATGCCAGCACCCTGTGATAACTTCAGTCTGATGTAGAAGACTTCACACACAATACAGAAACTGAAACTGGGTTTATAATTCCATTTAGAGTTCTTGCCATGAACGTAGAGCCTTCCCAAAATATTCCATGGATATTTATTACGTTTTCATACAGTGATTACTTGTGTGGGTGTTTTGTTCTTTGTTAGCTGTCTGCCAGTGTCACCAATGCCTTAATGTTCACATCCATTTTGATTGTCCTCAGTTGAATAGAGGATTTATTTCTTTTTTATTGTATTTTTGCACATTAGTCCCCCTCATTATTTCATGCCTGTGAAGTGCAGGAAGATAACTGAGGGCAATAATTAAAGAGATTTCCTGGTCATCCATTCCAAGACTTTTTAAATTTAGGTGTGACAGCCATATTAAGCATGCCCAAGCATACTCTCTTTTCAACAAATGTCTGCCTGCTGACTTCTCAGTTTCACTTTCAGAAGGGCTGTCTGTATTTCGAAAGATCTTTCACTAGATAAACGGGCAAGGCTGTATTGTTGAGGCTTGGGTTGGGTTTTTTTTAATTGGGTTTCTTTTCCAAAATTCAAATAGTGGGTCAAGTAATAAGCACTGCTAAAATGTTAAGGGAACAGTTATGCTGACTATCAACTTCTAACAGAATGCAGAGTTAAAATGTGATTCTCACCCTTCTCCCCCTGTTAACTGTTATCATGATTACTTGAAAGAAGGGAAGGTACACCCTTTTTTGGTCTCCTTTATCAGTTAAAGTAGCTGGAAACTTTTTTGTTTCTTAGCATGTTAAATATAGGGATGGGCTAAATGGATTTCTTAATATATTGGCTTAGTAAATAATATAAATATTAAATCATATTTAATATTCCTATTATTCAATTATTACTTGTAGTTGCTAAATATTTTCATTTTTACCCTTGATAAGAAAAGAATGCAAGAATTTAAGTAGGTAGTCTGTCTACATCTCTTTGCATAAGAATATAAAATTCTAAAATTGCTTGCCTATGGTGAATTAGAGGAATATTAAACTGCCAATTGCCAGCCTGACAAGTTCAATTCATGTGAATTATTTTAACAGTACTTGATTCACTTCAACTTTTCAAAATGTTATTTAATGCATGGCCTAAACTGCAGTCACTAGTAATTCCTGGTCAGATGATGAGGTATTTATTTACCATGTAAACAGACAATCAGATAACCAAACCCCTGATTTCTTAATTTATGAGGTTAATTTCAATAATTCTATACTGTATCATTAAATGTATTGCACAACTAAATAAGCATCTTTCTTAGACGGTTATGACTTAAAAGATGGTTAATAATACTTAGGTAAATAGTAAAAAAAGAAAGTTGACTTGCATTCCTTGCTTGTCTATAATTCCTGTGGTCTTGTTAAATCAGGGGCAGTTTTGTCTTTTACAGCAGCATCTACCTTAAGTGGTAGATGCGCAGTGTAGCAAGTTCTTAAACTTGATGCTCACCACGTGAATTAAATGTGTTTTCTGCAATTGTTTTATTTCTTGGATGTAAACAGAGGAAAGGCTTTAATGCAGGAATAAACAAAATGGAGACTTTCTGGTAAATCCACGGAAATTTAGGAGCTTACATAGTTTCCTACCCAGAAGCAGTGTCTTGCTGACAGGTGGCTTTAGGTAGAGAAGTCGTACTTTCATGGCAAGGGAGCAAATGTGCAATGGGAATTGTACATAATACAGCTGCAGTTATTAAAAAGCTAATTGGCTTTTTGAGATATGTAAGCAATAGAGCTGGGTTGTTTAGGATTGTTTGTTTGGTTTTTTTTTTGTCTTGCCAGAACTGCTGACACTTTTTAGGAACAGTAATTATCAGAAAATAGCAGCTTAGATGCATTTAACTTCTAAAATATTAATTAAAAAAAAAGGGGGAAAAAGAAACCCAAACAAAACCAGCCTCCATGTTTTACTCTAACAAGGGAATTATGTGCAAGAAGACCTGTCTTAATAAATTGCAAGGTTTTACTTCGACAAATCTGCAAAACTCAACTTTTTCTCTTCTGCTCAGCTGAATGGTATTTGCTAATTGGAAGAAAAACGTAGGGCCACTAGGTGTCATTGTGCACTGAGAATGTGGAACAAAATCCCTTTGGCAAAAATTTAACAACTGCCTTCGCTAACGTTTAGGGGGACCTTACCCTCATCTTTCTTTGCTGGTTAGAGGCCCGATTTGCAGTGGTTGCATAGAAATCCTGCCCTTTGACTTCTGTGACTTTCTGGTTCTCCAGAGATCTCGTTAATTACCCCTCCTTCTATATGTTCTTGAGAAGTTCTTCCTTATCCATACTTTTGTAGAGACTTGGCTGTTCTCTCAACTTCAGCAAGCACCCAACAATGAAAAATGATAAATGAATAAAGCCAATGAATATTTTCACTCTGTGGATATAGACTTAGGCTTTTTTTACATACATAGGTCAGATACTGGAATATAATTCTTATCTTGTCAGTTATAAAACTAAATTAAGAACTTTAATCCATTTTATTTCATGTGTTTAATGGCCAGTACTGGTACTCTGCACTAATATTTGTTTTATGAATAAGTTGTCTTTGGTCATGTACCTAAGTATCTAGGTTTCTGAAGGGTGAATAGTTCTTACTCTATGTTCTTTAATTTCTACAGCATCTACTCTTGCATCAGGTACAATTTTAATATGTATATATTCAGTTTCATGTCTTTGATATACAACTGCAATTTACAAAATATGTATTTTGAAACATCTAGTGCTACTCTGTCTTAAGCATAAAATATTGATAATAGATTTTTGTTGTTGTTGTTGGCTAATGATAGCATCAGTAACATAAGCAGTCCTTGTCATTGTCTTGGTTTAATCTTGCCTAATTCTTATTTAGAAAAAAAATGTTGCTATTCGCCTTAATAATTTAAAGTTAATGCTGTACATAAAGGAAAATTAAACTAAGGAAGCCTAATACTGAAGGAATGTCCTTTTTCCAACAAGGAAGTCTTGGTTATATGAATTGCAAGTCCAGTTCATCCATAAGACATGATTTTGTGGACCCTCTGTTTCCTAAAGAGAACCTTTCAGTGATCTTAATCTTCATTAAGACTGTTGGGTGCTACGTGACTTTAGAGGGCATGCTTTATTCTCTTCTTTTTTTAAGGTTGGGGAAATGCTTTTTTGAATCTTTAGAGGAATTAAGCAATTTTTATATCTGAATGTTGGCTTTAGAAGAGATGCACATCACCACCATGCACTCCTTCGAGGAAATTTCCATTAATTTTGACCTTTGTTTTTCCAAATAATATTGCTACTGTGAATAGTCAGTTTTGACTACTGCATTATTTTGTTCTTTTTTTTTATAATGCTAGAATATGGACACATACATGCATTCCAAAGATGTTTGTGTTTTTTTTAGAATACTATCTCTGCCCCCAGGAAAAAAAAAAAAGAAAAGCAAGGGGGGGGGGGAAAAATCAAACTTCTTTTTTCCAAGGGGGAAGTTGAACAAATCGCCATGATGAAACCGAAAGGCCAGACTGAACATGATGAAGGCATGCTTGAATATTTAGAAGACTTAATAGGATCTGCACGACTAAAAGAACCTATCCAAGTTCTGTGTCGCAGAATAGAGAATTTAAATGAACAGAGAGGGGAAAAGGTGAGGCTCAAAACTTTGTTTTGGTTTGTTTGTTTTATGTTTGGGGGTTTGCTTGGAACACAGGATTTTATCTGCTGAACATTCTTTGATCATAATCTACATGCATTAAATGCTGCTCAGACTTAATAGAGAAAGAGATTGTCATTATCTGAATATATCAAGATAGAGGGTTTTTCCTGCCTGTTTCCTATTACTGAATAGCAAGTAGGAGAAATATCAGGAAAACTTTCCAGAGAGGTTTTTCTGCCTGATTCCTATTGCTGAATAGAAAATAGGAGAAGTTATCAGGAAAACTTTCCATATGCTAAGATAAGAAGAGAGGAAGAGGGAAGCAGAGCAGTATTGAGTTGTTGCACACACAACTTTATGAGAAGGCATAAAACATTAGTTGTGACTTGAGCTATGTAGAACTTGGTTCCAGAACATTTTATTTATGCATTCAGTTCTAAAAGTGCTAAATAATATTAAACTTCTTGTTGCTTGCTGTGTCCTTGGTAAATCCTAGTATGTTGCAGACAATTTTTTTTAAAGGCTGGGAAGGAAAAACCAGAGCTTTTAAGTGCAGAAATTAACTTAAAAGGGGCTAGTCAGAAGATTGAAATATAGACAGTCCATATATGTTATTTTCTCTATGTAACTTCTCTCTCTCTCACCTGTGTTTTTCTTGGCTTGCCAGAGCTGTTTCTGGCATCTGTAGGATCTTTTTATTAGTTTTAAGTTCCTGACTGAATTGCTCTAAAGGACAGTCTCTGCTGTGGAAGTTGTGATCTGTGATTTCAGCAAACTTCTAGTGTTAAACTGTCTTGCAGAGTTGTTGAACCACATCTCCAGAGGACATGTGCTACAAAGAGTCTTGGATTTTTCTCCTCAGGGTTTGTTCTTCTGTAGTATTAGCAGTAAAGTCCAATCTGACTCTTTGTCTTGTCTAGTTAAACAGAGTTAAAATGGTGGAAAAAGAAAAGGATGCCTTGGAAGCAGACAAGAATAAAGCCATAGAATTTCTTTGTTTGGAAAACAGAATGTTTAAAGAAAAGAATCGGATCTGTCAATACTACATGTAAGTAATTCTCTACAGTTTTGATTTGGCTTTATTGTGGTAGTGGTGGTCTTAAACTCCTCTTCCTTATCTCTAAGTAGAAGTATTTTGTATTTCTTAACAGATACATCAGTCCTTCAGAATTAGTTGAATAGCACGTGGCTAGTGATTTTTGTTTCAAATTTTGAACTTAAAAAATTTAAAGTAGACATCATTTTCACAAAAATTTTTTTTTTTAAATACAAAACACCACCACTAAAAAAAAGTAATGCTTGCCAGCTTTTAACAAAGTAAAGTAGTCTGGCAAATTAATCTCTTACAGCTTTATACTTGAATCGAGAAAGTTGATCAGTCAAGGACTATTTTAATTTGAAGTGTCTAAATAGTTAGATTTCCTTGCTGGTTTGTATTAAATTGGCAAGGTTACTGAGTGACAACATTAAGGTTTAATTCTTTACATAATCACTTGTTTACGTGTAAGATTGGAAATACGTATTCATTATTAATGTCATCTTTATGGAAAAAAAGTGGAGGTTTGGGTTTTGTAGTTGGATTTTTTGTCTGCTTTTCCCCTAGTCATGACCTAAAGAAACGAATAAATGATATGGAAATGCAGAAAGAAAAAATTAACGAAGAAACGAAAGAAGTTAATGAGAAAAGCAAGAAACTTGGAGATGAAATGAAAACCAAGACTAAAAGTTTGAAAGAACTTGAAAAGTAAGTACTTTAGGTATAGATTTGTAAGCTGAGAGTACTGTGTTTTACACATTTTGCATATGTGGTGGTAAGAGTTTGCTGGGTTTTCAGGAAAAGGTGTGTCAGTTTTATTGCTGACAGGGGTCAGAACATGGGAAAAAGCAGAAATATATGGTAGCTGTATGGGGAGGTGATCAAACTGGGAGCACAGCTGTGTTTTTGGTAATTCTTCCACCGAAAACTTCAATTATCTGATGAACAGTCACTTATTGTATATCTAACTATTCCATGGCATGGATTAAATGATCTCTTGCACAAAAATAAGTAAATAAAGAAATCTCATTGGTTTGCTTTTCTTGCAGAAGTCTGGGTAATACAATCAGAAAATGTCTAATATTTGAATGAATTTTTAAAGTACATGCTTTTATATATTGACTGCAAAAGAAATGAAATATTGTTTTAGCTTTTTAGATATACCACTGTAGTGCTTAGGCCCATGGATGTTGGGTATTTTTATCTGGTTTCCTTATGAATCTTTTATGCATCCATTGTGTTTCCCTAAAATTGATTTGTCTGGGTCCTAATTTCCAGTCCAACTGCAATATTGATCTTCTCATCCTCTAAGATTGTGGTAAGTTATTTGTGAGAGGTGAATTATAAATTTTACCAAGGAAAAAATAAAATTTCTGAAAATGGATTTAAGATTGCATGTTAGTTAATCTTTTTATGATGAAACATAACTTCCCTGGGGAAAATCGTGTGAATATAGTAAGTATATTGTTTTCTAAAAAAATTGAGTAACTGGTTTAAATTCTATATGCTTGCTTACTAAGCCAAGCTCAACTGACATTTTTATAGGTTATGGAATAGATGATTCTTTCTTTTTATTTTTCCCCTTCAGAAAACGCGATAAAATAACAAAGTTCATAGAGAAAAAAAAAGAAGAATTTACTCAGTGGGATTTGCAGGATGTTAAAGTAAGGGAAAATCTAAAACATGCTAAGAGCAAGACTAAAAAATTGGAGAAGCAAATTCAGAAGGACAAAGAAAAGGTAGTGTGAACTGCAGCTTGATTTGCCTAAAGAAATGTAATTGGCTGCTCTAGATGAGAACGTTTTTGTGTAGTTGGGACAAAATAGCAGAGGACACCAGTTGCATTTTGTATAAAGGAGATGGAAAAATACATTTTAATTTACTTATCTTTTTCAGTCAGATACCTTGTCATTTAAATCAGCTAGTGATCTTGTTTGCAACACTGAAGTAATGCATTATTCTCCCTTAAGGCATTCCTAATTGCACATGTATGGGAGGTGGGTTCCAGTGGTACCAGGCTGTTAATCTGCCTAAATTAAAAAGGTTTCTATGGCTTCTTGGCTTAGCTGGGAGGTCTCATGGCTCCAAAGCATCTTTTTTTGTCGTGTTTGCTCAGATTACAGAAATTTGCGTATTCTCAGAGTAACTACTTTTTCAAAACTTCTTTTTTTTCCTGCTTTCCTAGTTAATTTAGTGGGTATGTTTCACCAAGTTGGTTGTTGCCAGCTGTTACAGATCTTAAATTGCTCTTTGGATCAAGAGTTCAATTTGGATCAATAATTAGGAATTAAGCCCTACTGTGATTCCGTGACTTCAGTTCTTGTGTGTAAAGCTTTTTTTTAAAGTGCATTCCTTCACTGCTATGGCTTTTGTCTCTGAATATCTTTCCTTGCACAGGTGGCAGAATTAAAAAAAGTACCTGCCGATAGTGAAAAATCTATCAGTGAAACAATGTCTAAGAAAGAGCTTCTTGAAAAGAGGAAAGAGGAAGAAGAATTAAAACTCAAGCAGGTTATAGACCTCCTTAAGCAAGAAACACAAGGACTTCAGACAGAAAAAGAGGTTTGAACTGCTTTGACTTAGTGCACTTGCTGTCTTAACTGATGTATAGCCTTTACACATGAATGAAATGATCATGAGATAGTTGTAAAATGCTTTTTTACATGACAAATGTGCTGTTTCATGTGTTAGTTCAGTGAAGCCTAACTGGGAATTTTTTTTTGAATTTATAATCAGAGCTAAGTCATTCTTATTAAGTTTCTCTGCTTTCTATAGGGATCATGTGTCATTAAGTATGTTATTTGTGTATGCATGTTAAATAATTCTACGCTTCCATAACTTGAACACACTTTATTTTTCTCCCATCAAAAATGTTTAAACCAATCTGTTACTTAAATAAATGAACAGAGTTTGAAATTGTTTGTTCTGAGCCTCTCAAAAAGCTAGGCTCTGTCTTTGAATTAATGGACAGCTACTATAATACTTGGTTATTATTGCTGATAGTAGCTGTTCAATCACTAAGCACCTGAAGGCTAGAAATTTATCCTGTAAATTTGGAGGATTGTTTTCTGTAGTTGAAAACATGGTTTTATAGAATCATAGAATGTTTTGGTTTGGAAGGGACCTTAATGATCATCTGGTTCCAACTCCCTGCCATGGGCAGGCACACCTTCCACTAGAGCAAGTTGCTCCAAGCCCAATCCAGCCTGACATTGAACACTTGCAGGGATGGGGCAGCGAAAGCTTCTCTGGGCAACCTGTGCCAGGGCCTCACCACCCTCTGAAGAATTTTTTCCCATTTCATCTGCAGTTTAGCACAATATGTAGGGCTCCTTCCAACTTTAAATTGAGAAAATGATACAAAGTTTGTATTGAAATGTTCCATGACAATTCCCTGGTGTTCTTTATGAGAAATGTCTTATTTAATTTCCATACAGAATATATTAATAAATTAAGAAATACTTGTTCTTCTAGATAGCATAACTGTTTTCTGCTGACAGAAGAGCTTGTAAAAGAACACACCCATTTCCTCTCTTTGTTTCCTACCGTTTGATTGATGTAAGAAATACCACAGTCGTCTGGTTTTAGTTGTAACATTGTCCATTTTCCAGAGCAAAGAGGAGGAGCTTATGGAGTATATGAAAACAGTGAATGAAGCCCGTTCAAAGAGGGATGTTGCCCAGTCAGAACTTGAGATATATCTTGCCCGTCATAATACTGCTGTGTCTCAGTTAAATCAGGCAAAGGAGGCTCTGATGACTGTTTCAGAAACTCTTAATGCAAGGAAAGCTGCTATCAAAGAGATAAGTGTAAGATTACCCCAAGCAGAACAGGAGTTGAAGGAGGTGAGACTTGACTTCCGTATGTAATTTCCTTATCACACAATGTTGCAACACACAAATCAAAATTCCACTCTTATTTTTAGCAGTAATCATGGTGAAAATAAAAGAAAAACTGTGCCAAAAAATAACATTTCGAACTATATTCTAATACTTGGTTAACCTGTAAAGTATTTGATTTCAGACTTATTTTTGGTTAATCAAATATTAACAATAAGCACTGAAATTAAATCCTACATATCCCTAATTATAATGATGAGACAAGTTAAAATAAATAAATGGCTCTGTTCCTGAGCCGCCTTCTAATTTCCCTTCTTGCTCCTCTCATTCCCCAAAGGAAAAAAAAAATCCCACTACCTTGTCCTAAGCTTGATTCATGAATTCATAAACTGTCATATGTGTATCAAAGTGTACTAAATACTAGCAGAAGTATATCCAAATACCAGCCGTTCTTCTGATAAATGTTTGCTACTTCTGCTTTTCAGTGGCTCTTTCACTGCCTACACAATCATGAATTTAAGACTCCATGGATAGTTTTTGTGATTTTGAAGATAATGTCCTTTTTTTTTTTTCTTAATTATTAGAAAGAAAATGAGCTTGAGAAACTAAGAAGAGAAGAAGAAAGTGCTAGGAAACTTGTTCAAAACCTGCGTCATAAAGTAGAAGAAGCCAAAAGTTCTTTAGCAATGAGTCGCAGTCGAGGAAGAGTGCTTGAGGCTCTGCTTCAGCATAAGAAAAGTGGAAATATTCCTGGACTATACGGAAGACTGGTAGATTTTAAATGGCTATTATACTTCTAAGTCTTAAACTGTATAGAAACAGAACAGTAATAGAGTGAAATGTAGAATTCCTCACTTTTCTGGTGCTATGAATTTGAATAGCAGAATATTGCAAATCCCATGGATTTGCTATAAAACAAAAAAATAAAAAAAAAAAGAGGTTCCTCTACTCAGCACTAAATAAAGGCAATGGCTATGAGAAAAAATTTTTCCAAGATGGTGGACATCCCTGTACCCATTTGCCAGATCAGTACAGAACCCCATGTAGAAGTGTAGGACTTGCTGGGTCCTACCAGACTTGACCAATGGTAGAACCATTCACAGCACACATTAAATGATCTTGTTAGGCCAGACTAAAATGCTGGCATATAAAATGTAACATTTGTCTACAGAAAATAAATGAATGCTACTACACTGTTCTACCAGAAGCACTGCTTTTGAAGCTGAGTATATGAATTTCTACTGTGGGAACAAGTCCATTAGGAATACATAAATAGCAGTGTGCAGGAGGAGACTGGTGTGGTATTATTTTACAAATTCCAGTCAAGGCTTCTTTCCCCCCCAAAAACCCCAAACAATTAGTTTGTTTTCTTTCTCTTTTCTGTGAAATTTTGTCATTTATTTCATAATACCAAGACAAAACATAGATGCCAAGCTCATCACTGTACTTCTCTGTCTCCCTCCTGACCCCCAATTATTAGGGAGACTTGGGAGCTATCAATGAGAAATATGATGTTGCTATTTCATCATCTTGTGGTGCTTTAGACAACATCGTCGTCGATACAGTTGATACTGCACAGGCATGTGTGAATTTCTTGAAGGCAAAAAGAATTGGAGTTGCCACGTTTATAGCCCTGGACAAAGTAAGTACCAGTACTTCAGCAGGACAAATTGATGATTTAGCCTAATGTCACAGTGTTAATACTGTATGTGCATAATGTATTAATGTGTAAAAATATGTATTATATAGTAACATGCTGTATATGTATTGCTGTGGAAAAGCTAAAATATAAAATACTCTAATAGGCTGTTCTACAAATGTGTTGTAGAACATTCTATAGCAAATGGGGACGTTTAGAGAGAATCACAAGGCCTTTTAGATACCTGTAGGTGTACAACAAATGTTTGGCATGTCTTGTAGAAGGAAGCTTTACTGTTAATTGCAGTACAACTGCATTTGTTTTAAAGCCTTAATGTGACTTAGAATAATGAAATGACCTAAATTTATCACCAGGAATCTCTCATTCATTTACTTTTTTGTTGTAGATGGCTGTATGGGAAAAAAATCTTAAGAAAATCCCCACTCCGGAAAATGTTCCTCGGTTGTTTGATCTGGTGAAAGCAGCTGATGAGAAGCTTCGCCCGGCTTTTTACTTTGCATTACGCGATACTTTAGTAGCCAACGACTTGGAAGAAGCTACCAGAATAGCATTTCAAAAAGACAAAAGATGGAGGGTGGTAACGCTTCAAGGACAAATCATTGAACAGTCAGGTATTTAAGTGCAAAGTTGCAATTATATTTTCAGTTTTTCACAGGTGCTATCTAAGCACGATAAGCTTGCTAACTTCTTTTCATCTATTTTACTTCAGGAACCATGACTGGTGGTGGGGCTAAAGTAATGAAGGGTAGAATGGGTTCCTCAGTCGCAATGGTTGTTTCAGAAGAAGAGGTCAGTACATAATCTTAATTCTGTCCAGCTACAGCAAATTTTCAGGTTTTTACTCCACTTTATTTCTGTGTTTTATGAGATCATAGACTGCTGTCTGTTGAGCAGGTGAATGAGGTTTTGCTTTACCAGGCAAATGATCATACCTTATTTTTGTGTAGGTCAGTAAAATGGAATGTCAACTGCAGAAGGATTCTAAAAGAGCAGTACAGCGTGAAGAAGAGACATTACAACTTGAAGAAGCCATAAGCAAACGGCAACAAGATGTTCGGGAAATGAAAAACAATTTAGAAAAGTATTCAGCAAGTATTAAGGTGAACAAGTTTCTTATTAAGACAGTATCTGGGCTCCACCAATGCGCAGGGGGATGACTCAGCCTCTGCTTAACATTGTCCTTGTTAGTGTCAAGAGTCTCTGAAATACAGAATTCCGACACAGTTGTGTTTTTTCTGTAGAATTTACCTGAACAAGAAATTCATCTGAAAACCCGCATTAAGGAACTTGAAGCCAATGTAACTGCTACTGCTCCGGACAAAACTAAACAGAATGAGTTGGAAAAAGTCCTTAATGGTTATAAAAAAGGTACATTTTGTGGAGAAGGGATTAAAGCTAAAAATCATAGTCATATTCTTTCACTAAACCAGGAATGAATGGTTACAGCTTTGTTCTTTCAGTCTGCCAGTTGCAGAACCATATCTTGGGTTGGAACCCCTCTTCTTCAAAGGGAGAGGTAAAAAGTGTCTTGAGATTAGAGAGTGAGGACCTTTAGATATTTACGGCTGTGTTACAGCCAGATTCATAGGGAAACTGAGTTTAATTGGGGGAAGAATTGTTAATGTGGAGGTAATAATATTAAAGTCTGTTATTATTGCTGTGCTCTGACTGGCCTGTTATGTGACTAAGATGAATACCCTGTAGTCTGTTGTGGGCACAATGTACCCCCGTTCTTCTTGTGAAAGAAGTTGACTTTGAGAACGGGAATAACAGCTATGCTGAAGAAAGTGGTAGCTTAGGAAAGTAAACCTTGACTGTTTGAATTTCTTGCTCAGGGAGTAAAACACATTTCCCTTCCCCCACAATTCTGCTTTGATAGCATTTTAGGAAAGAGAAAATATATACACTACTGTGGACTCCCTCTATGCCTCTTGGGAACAGTATAGCATCAGGAGAGTATGAATGCTTTACTTCCTCAAATAATGCTAAGGTTTGATGTTATAAATATCTTCTCTAACATTTCTACTAAGTAACGGAGAGACACAAACCTATGTTCTCCTCTGGAGAGATGACTGCCTTCCACCGTGCCCGTCTCTGCTTTACCCCTACTGGCCCCAAAAGGAAATTGTAAATCTGTAGCAAACACAGTGGGGGATTTTGTTTTGCCCTTAGAATGGTAAGGTGCTGCGGTGTTCAGTTTTTGAAAGCTGTTCGACTTATTAAAATGGTTTTGTTCAGTTTTAAGTATAAGCTAAATAGGGGAACTTTTAAGGTAGATTAGGCTATTCAATATGTGTAGTAACTATACAGTAACACTAGCTGCTGAGCAACGGTTAGCAGCCAGTTCTTAGAGCTTAACCTTGGAGCATCTTCCCATTAAATAAATGCCAAGAATGAGCTTTTTATGTGCTATCTTATCTGTTTAAATCCTTTATACACAGTAAGTAATATAACTTAAATTTTTGGTTTGCACCAAAAAAAGCTTTTGCAGTATCACAGTGTCAGAAAGATGTGGGTGGTAATTTTAATTTTAGCCACAGTAAAAAAGAAAAAAAAAAAACACCAAAAAAACCCAAAACATTTTTCACAGTATAAAGAAATAGGTGCACGTCTCAATATATTTATGCAGCATAGCTTTTTATCACTTAAATCTTACTGTGCTGCAGTAGTCTGGTGTTCATAGAGACATCTCAATGACCTTAACTCTTAATCAACAGATTATGACTGCGCTGCTGAGAAAGCTGGTGAAATAGAAAGTGAAGTTAAGCGATTACATAACCTCATAATTGATACCAATAATCAAAAACTTAAACCACATCAAGACAAACTTAACAAGATCAACAAAGAAATAGACGGATGTTTTTCAACTATTACTAAAGCCCAGGTAGCAGTCAAGACTGCAAACAGGTACGGTATGTGTCAGTGGTCTCAGCTGCTTTAGGCTGCAACTGTGGCTGTGGTTCCTGCCTGATTACATTTGGACATTTGCAGGGGGGATTGGTCAGGCCAGGGGGATGGTTTTCCCCTCTTTATGGCAGGAGGCAAAGAGGGGGTAGAAGGTAATAATATTTTTTCTCTAAACTGATTTACGTCAGGGTTAGACAGGTTCTTAATTAAGAACCATAATCTTTGTGAATTAGTGTATGTTACAGACCTAGAAAGCTTAGTGAAACCTGACCAGGGAAGAGACATGTCAGCCTTCGAATAGCTGTATATGTTGGCATTGGTACCCATGAGATATTTCCTTGGTTTAAGGACCCTCCATAGCTAAAAATCCTGTGATCTTAATGTCTTTATTTCCAGTCACATCTTAATACCAAATATCGCTTATCTCAAGGAGGTAAAGGGAAATAAAATGCTGTAGTTTTTAATAGGGAGTTTAAAATTAATGTTTAATTGGTATTTTTCTGCTAATATTTGCCTATCACGAAAATGCAACATTTCAGGATAAAGATTCAAATTAACACTTAATTACCATGTAGCAGGGCACTTCAAATCTGAAGGGACTCAATCTATTATAAGGCATGTCAGGAAATAAAATGTGATACTTTTTATATTAGCTTAACATAATAATAACAAATACTTAGAACAAATGTCAAACTGCCTCAGAAAGAACAAATTAAGTGATTTAGACTTCCTTGCTGTATGCTTTAGGAAGGCAACTTTGGTTTTACTTGGATATTTAGGGAGTATGAGAGTTTGTCGATAAATGAGTACTTCCTATTTGGTTGTCAGTAGTTACTGAGCATGCTTTATAGGTAAGATTGTGTGTCTATATTTTATGTCATATTTGCACTCATGTGAGGAATACAAACCTCTACACATGCAGAAACGTGAAAAAATCTGAAGATGCTCTTCTTCACATGGAGAAAGAATTGGAAGACAATGAGAAAGAAATTAAAGACTTAATGAAAGAACTGACTGAACTGGAAGCCAAAGCTGCTGAGGTTATGAATGACTGCAGGCAAGCCGAAGTAAGTGTCATGTTAACTTGGTGTAATCCTTCATAGAGGATGCAGCATGTGAAATCAATTTTAGATAGTAGTTGTTGTACCAGAATTGTTCTAAGGCCTGATGGCGGTCAGACTTCGTCCTCAGACATTCCAGGCACACCCAGCCAAGGGCCTGTGTTACTAGATACTACCTTCATGTAGTTAAAAAAAGTTACCCTGCTATTTAAGCCCCAGACTTGACAATGGTGGCGTAAAGTATCTCTTTTTCTCAATTACTCTACTACTCATCCTCCAAAAATTCCCATGGGCATAAAACGACAAAGAATGTTATTTTCTGTATCCTGCAATATATTGTATGCATTTACACAAAATAAGTAATTTTTTTAATCAAAGTTGGCTGTTAAATACAGATGATGAGGGGAGAAAAATAGTGTTGACCAGTCCTAGTAAGCAGTCTGGTCTTCAGGTGAAGTCAGGATGTTGAGTTATATCCTTATTAGATCCTAGTTACATTCTTCTATTCTGTTCTTGTGCAAATGTTATATAGTAGCAGAGTGACATTCCATGATGGTCAGGAAATGGGAATGATTGGGTTTTGGGAGGGTTTTTTTTGTTTGTTTGTTTAGGTTTTTTTTGTTTGTCTGTCTGTTTTTTTTTTATACTTACCTGGAAATACATCTTGAGTAGATTTTCTGAAGCTAAAAAATAAATGAATGAAATCAAGTTTCCCAAAGAAATTGTGGTTTAAAACTTGCTTAAGAATAGAGGATTTTTTTCTTTCCCCCAGCTATGTGGTACTTTAGTTTGCATCCAGATTTATCTATGAGAAACAGTGAAAACAACCAGGATGGCTGAAATTCTTCCAAATAAAGCTGTTTCTTTGAGACTCCCTGTCTCTAAAACTGCCTTTTAGCTAAAAACTTCCCAGTGTAGGACTTGTTTGACCCAGATCTGGAAACAAAATATAAACTGCAGCATATTTTCAGTCATTTGATAATTCAGTGACCAGGTTAGTCTAAATACAAGAATATATTATTTATATCAATACTTTGGATTATGGAGAGTAAGTTCTGTGAATAATATCATGAAAGCAAACCTATCACCTGCAAAAAGGGGTAACATTTTTGTAGGCAACTGTTTAATGTGTTTTTTTGGTCATTTCTGTTTAGGAAGAGTTGCCAGGACTTCAACAGGAGTATCATGATTTACTCCAGGAGATTAAAACCATTCAGGATGAGGAACATGCACTTCAAAAGGAAGCTCTTAATATTAAGCTGAAAATGGAACAAATTCACAGCCATATTTCTGCACACCAGTCAAAGATGAAATACTGGCAAAAAGAGGTAAGGAAATAGTTCAGTTCCAAAAACTAGAACTGTGAGATCGCAAAGGATTAATACATTAACATTAGAAAACAGATAATTTGGGAGAAAATTCATATTCAGCTCACAGTTTGTGTTTATGCTATGAGAAAACTCTAAAAAAGATAACCTTTCAGTCTTTCTTTGATCTACGTGCAAGGTTATAGATGAGTTGTGAATTCAGTGGTTTAGCTTCTAGCTTTTCAAGTTTATTAATTCATGAAAGAACAATAGAATAATTAGAATTGACACAACACTGAGTAATTAATAGCAATGAGGGTAAAATAAGTAGGCAGGCCATAAATGGCAACCAGGAGAATTTTTGTGTCTGCATATCCTCTCTGTGCACACTAAAAAACGTTTCAAAAGGGTAGGCATCCTCACAGATGAGAGAAACAAAGTGGAGTAAGGTGCTGACAATTAAACTACAAGTTATGCATAAGTGTACTCAGTGCTGTGTCCACTAATTTGTTCTTTACTAAATGGCAAGGCCTTCTCCTTGAAAGCATTTTGCCTTAAACTTGTAGTCTATTTGGTATATCAAATTGCCTTTCCCCAGTTTATGTATAACTGGGCCAGTAGGAATTCCTTGGGGCCAGGAAGAAATTCTGCTTCTCATATTGCTGCTTGAACCAGCTCATGGGATAAATTGGAGCCAGTGGAAGCAAGGAACTGCTGACTCCAGTGCTAGAACACCTAGCTTCTCAGACTCAGGGTGGTATGCGAGCAGGACTGCTGGCAGCCTTCCTGCAGGCAAGCACACAGACAGCTTTGCACAGAGCTTCTTGCAGTCACAACCATTCTCACAGCTCCCATTGAGTTGAACAAGCTAGTTCTAATCACTGCCTGATGTGTGGTGTGTTAATGTCACAAGTGTGATCAGTTGTTGGGAAGGGCTTTAAATTCTGGAAACAGTTCTGCACAGAATCCTGACATTTTCTGGCCCATGGACTGGTGGATTACAAAGTCAGTAGAAGGCAATGCTGGTTTGGTTTTCCTGGTCTACCGAAACAGCAAAAATGAAGTGTGTGCCCAGGGAGGTATGCTCGGAGACAAGGCTAGTTAGATGCCTGGAGCTCATAAAGCTACCTTTTTATTATATGTCCTTTCTACTTCATATTTAAACTTATAATAGAGGTAGGGATCTAGGCCAGCAGATGATCTTGCAAAGCACAGTTTACGTGAAGAATCTTTGAATGTTTTGAGATTGGAAGCTTCAGTATATTGTATAACATAGTATATAACACAGAAAATGTTTATTTTAGAAATATGTTCATGTGATAATGAATGTGATCTTTAAAGATTTCTAGTAACTGGTTTTGAATTTTAGATGTCAAAATTATCACTGCACTCCATAGAAGATAAACCACCTGAAGAACTTCCAGTACTAAGTCAAGAAGAGCTGGAGGCTCTCAAGGATCCCAATGTTATCACTAATCAAATAGCTCTCCTGGAAGCCCAGTGTAATGAAATAAAACCCAACCTTGGTGCTATTGCAGAATACAAGAAGAAGGTAAGATTAATTACTGCCATGCAGTGATGGGGTTCATCGTTTCAATATTGTATTGCCTGTTTGTACAGCTGGTACACCCCTCACTGAAGGTAATTTCTGTATCTGCAGCTTTGTTGTTTTCCGGTACTAGAATCTGTAGAGAATCAGTATCTTTGCTTTTGAACTATGGTGGTAACCGTCCAGTTGTGTGCTTTTTCTATCGGTGACTGCTCAAACACGTCCTGCAGTTATAAAAATGCACTCGCTATTGCCTACAGGCATACCAGGAAATGTTGATCCCATTCTTCTTCAGTTCCTTTTTTTTGGAAAATGATATGGAATACTTGGATTTTATCTCTCCGAGTATTTGTTAGCTTGCCCTTAGCCATGTCAAAGTTGTCTCTAGGAGCTTATGTATGCCTTCTATATTTGGTGCCATCAATGTCAGATGAAGACAACTTTCTCCTGTGAAAGTTCATGGACTTACAGAATGGTTTGGGTTAGGAGGGACCTGAAAGATCCTTCAGTTCCAACCCCTCTGCCATAGGCAGCAACACCTTCCACTAGACCAGGTGGGCCAAAGCCCCATCCAACCTGGCCTTGAACACTTGGGTTATATAGTTTATTTAGAAGTCAAGAAGAAACTTGACTTATATAAAGTCAACCAGTTGACAGTCTAGACAGACCCACAACACCACACACTAGGAATTTTTTCTCCTTACAGTACTTGCTTCAATAATATTGGACTATTCAACAGATTAAATATTTTCTTATTTTAACATGGGTTTTCCACCAGCAACATAGAGAGTAGAAGAAAGAGAAAAAAAAAGAGATAGTTTGGTTTGTTCTTATGTTTTCAAGGCTGGTAACCATTCTGGGAAAAATGAATTTTCAATGGTAGGAAAAACAGGTTTAAAATTGAAATTAAGGAGATAGTTTCTTTTACTGTACTTTTTTTTTTTCTGTTTGTTTTTTTTTTTCTACAGGAAGAGCTGTACTTGAAACACGTGGCTGAACTGGATGACATTACCAATGAGAGAGACAAATTCAGACAAGCTTTTGAAGATCTCCGGAAACAAAGACTAAATGAGTTCATGGCAGGATTTAATGTAATAACAAATAAACTGAAGGAGAACTACCAGATGCTTACATTGGGAGGGGATGCAGAGTTAGAACTTGTGGACAGTCTGGATCCCTTCTCCGAGGGAATCATGTTTAGGTTTGTCAAAATATGTTGTAGTATTGCTCTGATTCTTAATTGTTGTATTCCTTTTTTTATCAGCCTGCTTTTTCATTTTTCACTGATACCAGCTAACCAAGAGAGGTGCTGGCAAGGTGCTGACTAAAGCCATAGCTTTTTAGCACTGAGATCCATTTCTCCTGGAGAAATGAGTAACTAACAGCAGTTACAAAGTAATTTGAAGTAATTTCTCAGAGTTCCTTAATTCCCAACTTGTTTCATTCTGCCTAGGGACTAGTGTCAGTCATAGTGGTAACTACAGATTATTCTGTCATAAATGCTTCTAGGATTACATTAATCATATACATGAATAAGAGCAGAATAGCACTTTTGAAAGATAAATAGCAGTTCCTTCAGTTCTTGCAGCTCCTGCAGAATACAGCCATGTGTTTGAGTTCCAGAAAAAACTGGCTGACCATGTCACTCTGCGTGTACCCAGGGAGTTACTCTTCGGGGAAGAGAAATAATCCACTTTACTTCCTCTCTGCTGCAGAGGACTGAGAGCACCAAGCAGCTCATCCATGGTTTTAGTCAAGCTTCTTTATGCATCTGTGTCTTTCAAGAATTCCACCCACTTCATTACTTGCTTTTCACCACAACATACTTATAACTTAAAAATTCTTGATTTGTTTCAGCGTTCGGCCTCCCAAGAAAAGTTGGAAGAAGATATTTAACCTATCGGGAGGAGAGAAGACCCTTAGTTCACTGGCTCTAGTTTTTGCTCTCCACCATTACAAGCCAACGCCACTTTATTTTATGGATGAAATTGACGCAGCACTTGACTTCAAAAATGTATCCATTGTAGCATTTTACATATATGTAAGTATTTAATGGTAACTGCTGTATTATTTTTTTTTTCTCAGATATTTTCTTCTCTGCCACGGAAAATGAAATGGTAACATAGTTAAGGCCAGATTTAAAAATCCAGAATAACAGAGCATTAAGTGGAAGTGATGTGGTAAGCAGACTTCCAGAATGGCTCTTAGCATGATTTTTTTCTAAGCTGCTCAGTGTGACACTTTCCTGAAATGAGGCGACTTGTTAGAGGATTTACGTATTTTTTCCTTCTAAATCCTGTTTCAAAGCTGCCTAAAGAATACTGGAATTTACCAAAGGTACCACATTTCCATACATTTTTGCTGCTATTGCTTCCTCCTTAAAATGAATATGCTTTCTGCAAAGCCACCAGCTGTAATCAGCTGAGAACACAGTAGCTTGTTTAGCTCTTAGTAACATGTTTGTGCATCCAATCTCATTATTTTACTCTTGGGAGCAGCCAAGGTTCCTGGGTTCTATACTCCCATTTCATTAATATGGGCTGTTTCCCACAGGCTTCTTAGATCTGAGCCTTTGTTAGTGTCTTGGGTTTTTTCTTTCATGCTTTTAAAAATTTTGTCATTACCATATTAAGTGAGGAAAACATTTACATTACTGCAGTTCCAGTTGCTAATTTAAACTTAAAATTTTCACAACTCTCCAAAGTATAACCACCAGTTTTGGGAATGCCCTAAAAGTGACAGATTATGATCTATACTTGAAATTAGTGAAACACTTTGAAAATACCTGCCTGCAGCTGTAGTTTTAAACTTTCCTTCCACAATGCCTGTGTTTTCACAAAGGAGGGTGATTTGGTAGAGCAAAGTGATTTCAACTGCAGCATAGACTAGCACTTCAATTTAATACTTAGTATAGTTTAGCTCTTAAATGAAAATCATGGCTTAGTACAGAGCTGTAGCTGATATCTTGTATACAGCCAGAGCCAAGGGCATCATACCTTGGCTTTGCTTCTCCTGCCCAATGCTCTCAAGATTTCCACAAGGCTTGGAGGACTGGTGAACTTCCAGTGATGGTGCGAGATTCTTAAGGTTGGCTTTATTTCTAAAGTACCACAGATTTAGATATCTTATCTATTGTTCCACCTCAGGATCACAACACTAGCATTTTTCAAGGCTTGTCCTCATTAGCAAAGGGTTTGCTTTCCCCTGGTCTCAGTTCATGGAAATAGGTTTGGTTTCTTTTTCATCCCTAAAGCAACCCTTGCTGTAACAGTTCTGGTAACTTGGCAATACCTGCCTTCTTGCGGAACTCATGTTAAAACCGTGCTGAATATCATCTCTGGAAAGAAATTATGCACGTTGCATTGAATTCACTCAAGTAGGTGATGTAAAAGGTAAAAGGAGGAAACACATTCTGAAGTAATCGGGGGGGATTTTAACTTCCCTGATGTTTGCTGGAAGGAGCACTCAGCAACCCAGCCACAGTCCAGGAGGTTCCTCCAGTGTATGGATGATAACTTCCTCCTGCAAATGGTGGATGAGCCAACCAGGAGAGGAGCGCTGCTGGATCTCATCCTCACTAACAAGGAGGATCTGGTCGAAGCAGTAAGGGTTGAGGGCTGCCTTGGTTGCAGCGATCACGAGATGGTGGAGTTCAGGATCTTGTGTGGTAGGACTAGTAGAATACCAAGTAGAATTGCAACCCTGGACTTTAGCAGGGCAAACTTTGGCCTTTTCAAGCAATTGCTAGGGGAAATCCCATGGGCAAGGCTGTTTGAAGGTAAAGGGGCCCAAGATAGTTGGTTGACATTCAAGGATTGCTTTTTCCGAGCTCAAGATCAGAGCATCCCGACACATAGGAAGTCAAGGAAGAGGGCCAGGAGACCTGCGTGGCTAAATAGGGAATTGCTGGGTATGCTCAAGTGGAAGAGGAGAGTTTACAGGTCATGGAAGGAGGGGCTGGCCACTTGGGAGGAATATAAGGCTGCTGCTAGAGGATGTAGGAAGGCAGCTAGGAGGACTAAGGCCTCCTTAGAATTAAACCTGGCGAGAAGGGTCAAGGACAGCAAAAAGAGCTTTTTCAAATACATGGCAGATAAAACTAACACCAGAGGCAATGTAGGCCCACTGGTGAACGGGATGGGTGCCCTGGTGACAGAAGATACAGAGATGGCAGAGTTACTGAATGCCTTCTTTGTCTCTGTCTACTCTGCTGCAGGCAGTCCTGAAGAGCCCTGTACCCCTGAGACCTTAGATGAAGTCAGGTCGACGGAGCGGTTTGCCTTAGTCGATGAGGGATGGGTTAGAGACCAGTTGAGCAATCTGGACATCCATAAATCCATGGGTCCAGATGGGATGCACCCGCGGGTGCTGAGGGAACTGGCAGAAGTCATTGCTAGACCACTCTCCATCATCTTTACCAAGTCTTGGGAAACGGGAGAGGTGCCTGAGGACTGGAGGAAAGCAAATGTCACTCCAGTCTTCAAAAAGGGCAAGAAGGAGGACCCGGGTAACTATAGACCGGTCAGCCTCACCTCCATCCCTGGGAAAGTGATGGAACACCTTATCCTTGGTGCCATCTTAAGGCATATCAAGGATAAGAGGGTTATGAGGGGCAGTCAACATGGCTTCACCGAGGGGAAATCATGCTTGACCAATCTCTTAGCCTTTTATGAGGAAATAACACAGTGGATGGATGATGGCAGAGCGGTGGATGTGGTCCACCTTGACTTCAGCAAAGCATTTGACACAGTCTCCCACAGCATCCTCACGGCTAAATTGAGGAAGTGTGGACTGGATGATCAGGTAGTGAGGTGGACTGCGAACTGGCTGAAGGAGAGAAGCCAGAGAGTTGTAGTCTGTGGGGCTGAGTCTAGTTGGAGGCCTGTAACTAGTGGAGTGCCTCAAGGGTCAGTACTGGGACCAGTATTATTTAATATATTCATCAACGATTTAGATGAGGGAATTGAGTGTACTATCAGCAAGTTTGCTGATGACGCTAAGCTGGGAGGAGTGGCTGACACGCCAGAAGGCTGTGCTGCCATCCAGCGAGACCTGGACAGGCTGGAGAGTTGGGCAGGGAATAACTTGATGAAATATAAGAAGGGAAAGTGTAGAGTCCTGCATCTGGGCAGGAACAACCCCAGGTTCCAGTATAGGTTGGGAAACGACCTGTTAGAGAGCAGTGTAGGGGAGAGGGACCTGGGGGTCCTAGTGGACGACAGGATGACCATGAGCCAACACTGTGCCCTTGTGGCCAAGAAGGCCAATGGCATCCTGGGGTGTATTAGAAGGGGGGTGGTTAGTAGGTCGAGAGAGGTCCTCCTTCCCCTCTACTCTGCCCTGGTGAGACCCCATCTGGAATATTGTGTCCAGTTCTGGGCCCCTCAGTTCAAGAAGGACAGGGAGCTGCTGGAGAGAGTCCAGTGCAGGGCAACAAAGATGATTAAGGGAGTGGAGCATCTCCCTTATGAGGAAAGACTGAGGGAGCTGGGTCTCTATAGTTTGGAGGAGACTGAGGCGTGACCTTATTAGTGTCTATAAATATATAAAGGGGGAGTGTCACGAGGATGGAGCCAGGCTCTACTCAGTGGCAAACAATGATAGGACAAGGGGTAATGGGTACAAACTGGAACACAAGAGGTTCCACTTAAACTTGAGAAGAAACTTCTTCTCAGTGAGGGTGACGGAACACTGGAACAGGCTGCCCAGGGAGGTTGTGGAGTCTCCTTCCCTGGAGACATTCAAAACCCGCCTGGACACATTCCTGTGTAACATTATCTAGGTGTTCCTGCTCCGGCAGGGGGATTGGACTAGATGATCTTTCGAGGTCCCTTCCAATCTCTAGCATACTGTGATACTGTAAATCACAGCCTCACGCTGACTGCCACGCTGGGAGTGTGCTGTGCACAGGCAGAAAACAGAGCAGGAACTGTCACCATCACGATTTGTTGAGTGACGCACTTGTAGCTATGTATTCCTTAGTTCCTAAGATGTGAACATAGGGATCATATGGGAATGCAGTCTTGAAAAACTATGGGCTGACACAAACAAATTCTGTTTCAGGAGCAAACGAAAAATGCACAGTTCATCGTCATCTCCCTGCGGAACAACATGTTTGAGATTGCAGACAGGTTAATTGGAATTTATAAGACTCATAATACGACGAAAAGCGTGGCAACTAACCCAAAAGATATTGCAGCTAAAGGACTGGATGAACTGAAGGCTGTTGGCTCCGATACAGCTGAAACGTAGAGTGCACTTGCATTCCCATTGCTGCTGTTTCATGTAATATACTTTTTCATTTGAAATTAATTTTGTTCTATGCTTGAGCTTTTTAATCAACCAGCCTCAATAAATTTGATTTTTTTTGTAATTATGAAGTCTATATATTATAATCCTAGATTTTCTGTTTTAGTCAGTTCATCAAATTATTTCCTAAATTATGTATTCAGATGCATCTTAATACTCCAGGTATAGGTTTTATGTTGATGCTTGGGTTCCACATTTAGTTTTAAATGCCTTTTTTTCCATGTGTTTATTAGAAATTGCTTTTAAATGTCATCAGTGTCCTGTAACATTTTATGGTATGAGTTCCAGTAAGTCAGGTCAGTATATGTACCATTTACATGTGTATAATGTCATATGTCCTGCTGCATGGTTTGGGAAACAGACAGTTGTAGCCATCTTGTAGCAACTTCTTTCAGTTTAGGAAGCTGCTCTTCTGTTACTTTCCCCTGCCGCAGGCCAGGGCATGCGCTTGGGATGAAGTATGGGGGGTTGTGGTTTTTTGTGTTGTTTCACGTTTGTTTGGGTTTTTTGGGGGGTTGGGGGTGTGTTATTCTGAGCTTTTTGTGGGTTGTTGTTGGCGGGTTTTTTTCATACTTTTAGAACTGACACTGTGTGGTTTACTCCAAACCCTATGCCAGTGTGGCATACTTGTGCTGGACTTCTCCCTGAACTAGGAGCATCTGTCTGATGTTGGTGTGCTTCCTGAGGTGGGGAATCATGCAGAACTGACCCAAACCCAGGGATGAGACAGCCTCAGCCTAGCCCCAGAGGTCTAGCCAACTGGGAGCAGATCTGGAACAGAGGAGGGGGTCCTACTGGAATAATTACCTATAATCTGTAGAGATATGCTTTCCATGTAATGTTCAACATTAAGATTTATCAAATTATCATCTTAGCAGGAGGTGACTGGGCTGTTACATTTGGGTGCTGTTGTTCACAAACTGCAGCAATAGTCACACACATGATATTGGATGAGAAAAATGGGCATGCAGGCCACATTGCTTCTGCAGTCCCCCTCCAGCTGTGCAGTTTTGGCTTTCCTGTCTCAGGATGAAGCTAGTAAGTGTTGCAGTGCAGCTTCAGGATCAGCAGATGGGCAAGACCAGCCAAGAACAAAAAGGAATGGATCAAGAAGCAGCTGTTTCAAAGAGCAGCAGCACAGTAACCCACTACAAGTAGAAACAAACCACATCCCAGGTTTGAAGGGCACAAACCCCTCAAGCCTCAAAACACAGTAAAAAGGTTTGATTTTTCTCAATAAACTTTTTCTCTCTCTGAAACTCGGCACAGAGGATGGAACAGACCAGAGCTTGGCTGTGCAATGCTTAGCAGGCTAGGCTTACAGGAAAATGAGTCACTGCACCGGGACTTGCAGAAAACCAGGTAAATGGACCTGTGGTGGGCACACAGTGAGTGACTGTGCGATGCACAGAGTAGGGACTCACTGCCAAAAATAAAAAAGGATCATTTGGAGACTGTTGCTGAACATTCCTGTGTAAGCAGGACTTGCTGCTCTGCCTTCTCTCACTGGGTCAGTGCTCTTCAGGATTAGAGGGAAGGAAATGGAGGTGTTAGCCAAGCCTACTGTAAGAATACATTTTATTCGTATGCAAATTTATTAAAAGTACTACACATACTAAATGTTTAAATCAGTGGTAAAGGCATTTTATAAATTCCTGTAGTCTTGAAAACCAAAATTGCATTATAAACTGTTAAGTTTTTAAAAGTCAGGAAAATAACAGGAAGGCAAGTAGAAAGTGATGCTTCACAGGGCACAGGACCAGCACTCAGCACCAGGCTTTGCCAGCCACATGTGTCCAGTGACAGCTTTCCAGCAGGGCTTAAGGCAGAAAAACTCTCAAGTTTACTGGGAAGGTGATTTGGCAACATTTATGTGGGCCCATGATACACTTACCCACCCTTCCAAATCCTGACTGCTGGCATTAATGGGATTTGTCTCTCAGATTCTAAAAGATAACAACCAGAGGGCACTTCCCTGAGCACTGCTGGCTCTGGCTTTGATCAAAACCAAACCTGCTGAGCTGCTGGGAAGGGACCTGTGCGACCACTGCATCACTGACTCAGTGTTTTATCAATACCATGATGTTATGATCTCAATATCCTTACTAGGATATTTATTTAGGCTTAAGGAATGCATCTGAATCAACTGTGCACTCAGCTCTCCAGGAAGCCTGGCAGCAATGGGGAGGTTGCAGGAGCCCAGCAGCATCTGCTGGTTGCAGTAAGTTTTGGTTTGATACACCAACCAGTTAGCAGCTAGCCTTTAGAATTCAACCACTACTTAAACAACTTCTATTTAAAATTACACAACAGCCAAGGAGCCCTACCATGCTAGAATATACTATTAATTTTTGTAAAGTCAAATACAATTAGACATGGTGAATAATCATTTTTGGGTTTTTATAAAATCATTAGTGATACTGTTGTCACTGCAGCACTTCAAAGCTGTCCCAGTACTTGCTGTAATCAGCCTGTTAATAACCAAAGGCCAAAGCTATTTTTCCCTTGGGCCTTTGCTCCAGAACACAAGTTAGGCTGGAGAACCTCAGCAAAACCAGCAAACAGGATTAGTGAGCATTTTGCTGTGGAAGAAAAGACACATGTTTCATCTGTGTGAATGTAAAGATCTTCTATTTGTGCTGAAAAGTAGAATATAAATTTACACTCACTGTCAAGTTGTTTAAGAGCTCTGGACAATGTCTGAAGTCCTTACACCACTGAGTTCGCTGAGACTTTGGTACTTACTACAGTAAGTCTCTATTTTCACCACATCTGAAATGATTTAACACAAAGCTGGGGCTCATTTTTGAGAGTGGTGAGAGGTTCCTACCAGCCTGAGCAAAGACATGATTTGTGCACAGCTGGCACTAAAGAACTGCAGTATTTCACCAGAAGTTCTATTGATACTGCTCTGTAAAGAGGCACAAACCATCTGAAAGACACAAAGTTATTTTGCACAGGTTAAAAAAAACTCAAACAAAACAAAGATGAAATCATGTTCTTCACCCGTAACCAGGAACAAAGAAAATGAAGCCCTGGGCCACGAATACGTGCTTTAATGACCATGGGTGTGTCACTTAAAACATATCCAGAGACTGCTCAGTAAAACACAAAACAGGAGTTTTACACCTACCAGAGCCAGCGGCTAAGGTCTCCTTCTAACATTTAGCCTTGCAGTGCTTTTATTAAAAAAAAAAAAGCAAGCTGGTAGATTTTCAAGGAGCTCTTACAAATAGGACTCAAGATTATGGTCTGTAAGCCAGTCAGCTCTTTGCAGTCATTGTTTCTGAGTACCTTCCAGTTCAAACAAACACCTACCAACCTACTGTAACGTGTCAGCAGAAGCCTTTTCTGTTGCAAACCTTCAGAGTTAAGAGTTACTGAAGAGGAAATCTATACAGTACAGAAAAAAAGGAAGGATATGGAACTATAAAGTAAAAGTGTAAAGCTTTAACAAACCAACTTCTAAGTTATTGAGATAGTCAAAAGAAACAGTTCTCCCTAAAATTTCCTATCAGTAAATTAAACATATGGTCCAGCACATCCGCTGTATTCTGCAAACAAGTGACAAAATCTCGATAAATAAGCAGCAGGAATTCTGAAATATAAGTGCGAATATCTTCAATTACAACTGACAACACTGGCCTGTGAAATGAAAACAGTGTTACCACTGTCATCATCATCAAGAGCAGCAGGACTGCAAAAGGATTTACTGGCTGGAGGAGTTCTGAGTCTCTTCCTTCCTTTCCACTGCCTTTGCTGCATAATTTCTCTTTTGGAACCAGTTTTATTTCTGGATTGAGGATCTTGTTGATCTGACCAATTTTGGTTTGGGACCACACATCTTTCAACAGGTGCCCAATCCTGGGATGAATCTCCACAGGTTTAACATCTGGAAGTTCCTTCTGTTTCAGAGCTTTTATACGCTGATGCAGACCATTCACCTTCTCAAGAAAAATAAGTGGGGACTCTTCTTTTTTAATAGAGGTATGCAGGGACATTAATTCAAGCTGTTCTTCCCTTATTTTCTTCAGCTTCTCAATGAGAGGCTCATACTCTTCTAAAATGTGTGCGTTCATTTCATCCAGTGCTGTCAGCAGAGCCTGTTTTTTGTGCTCCAGTATCTCACCAAGTTTCTTAAAATACTGTACTACTGCTTTTCTATCATCCTGGACAATGCTTTCGCACTGAGACTTCTGTTCTTTCAGCTTTTCAATAAGCAGGCAGACATCAGTCCAGTGTTTATCAGTCAGCTGCTCAAGAAGTTTTACAAAAGTCTCCTTTTCTTTTGTGTAGGCACTCTGAAGGTCATCGATGGGATGACCATTGTGTTTTCCTATCGTAAGGCAATGGCCACACACCAATTTTCTATCCAAAAGGCAGTAAACGTTCAGCGGTTGCCTGTAGTGTTCACTGCAGGTTGCAACATCAGAGTGATCCTCCTGTTGGCATTTTTCAATAATAGCCTTCAGTGCAAAGTTGATAGGCAACGATTCTGTACCATCAGCAGGAATTTCCACAATGCTCCTGCAGTTCGGGCACTTCAGAGAAATTCTCAGAGGTCTCCAGATGGAAAAGTTGCTCGACAGCTGAATGACATTTTCCAGACAATTTCTACAGAATGTGTGGGAACAGGGCAGAACACGTGGATCTTCAAATATGCTGTAGCAAATAGAACATGTTAGTTCTTCCTCAAAGTGATGCATGTCCTACAAAAGAAAAACAAAAAAGAACGAACAGTTTAATCTCTTTACAATCAATTCATTTTAATCATTTTATTAACCTAAGCACATCAACGTGACATTTGATGACAACTAACCTGACCTATATTAGCATTTTATCGGGGGGGAAGGAGGGGAAGGGGGGTAATAGACAATAAAAAGAACAAAAATGAGTAATTGTTCAAAGATTTCAGCAAACTGTCATCAGCACTTGCAATGTGACTCGATAGTGTTCCCCCTTATCCAACTTCTCCCTTGAAGTCAGGAAAAGCAGCGATCTGCTACTAGGTATTTTTAACAGTGAGAAATACTAGAAGAGAGTGATAAAAGTTAGAACTA